GAAGGAAGGAAGGAAGGAAATACATTCCTAGCTCTGTCCACTAAAAAGCCTAACAACAATGACCAACTCAGTAGCAAGGATAACCTCTAGCACCCAGACTGTGACTGGGAAGTACCATTTCTCACTAAAACAAACCACGGCTTCTTGGAGAAGTGGTTGATTCCAGAGTTTGGACAGGGCTTGTAGAAGATGAACCTGGACGACCTTGTCATACAAGAGAGCAAGAAAGCTATCCACGACTACCAGGCCAGAGTCAACATTCTGCCATGTAATTTTAGTATTGTATCCTCACCCTAGTTGCACCAGGGGAAGGGACGGTGTTCCCCAATAATGCAGCATAAGAGTGCCAAGGTCAAGAGTCAGGGTTCCCTACTGGCCCAGCTTGGGAAGGGCAATGGTAGGCTTGCCCCTGTCTCTGTGAGCTTCTCACAATGAACACTGCGCCATTCTGGAGCATCTGGGGCTGCTTGGCCACTTTGCTCTTGTCTACTTGATAGCCGCAAATGATGATGAAATACGTGTTTTTCAGACAGTGCTGTAAATTTCTTTGATACATATTTTTATATAAATGTACCCTAAAGCATGAAACAACTAGCAATCTCATAAACTAGGAAAGAAATACAATGAGGATATAAATGCCCTTCTTTTAAATCAAATGTGCTTTTCCAGATGTATACAAATAAATGATAAATCATTTCACCTAGAGGGCGACCATAAATATATAAAACTGTCAATGTCTGTATTATTAAATTACATGTAAAAAATCATGTCCTGGATGCAAAACAAAACATTGTGCTCTCTGTGGGAAACCAACCATGTGAAGTACAGAAGCAAATACCACATAAAGAAGGGAAGCCATTTATAACGAAGAGATTTTACAAGTATTTTTTAAATGCCTTTGGGTATTGATAGAATTTCTGCAATATACTTATAGCATAAAAGGCCATCTGCTCCAACAGATTGTTTAAAAAGAAATGGAGAAACTGTGGTAAATCTGTCTTTGAACTTAGAGGTGAGAGACTCTGTTCATGTGTTCAACTAAGCTGCGTGATTCACGGGCTCAGTGCAATCAGTATAAAGACTATTTCAGGTTTCCCTTGGGCTACTGGGCTTCCTTCTATGGACTCTCTCATAATCTGCATTCATGTTCTTTGGCAGGGCTATCGAGCATTTACTCACAGCTAAGGAAAAATTTACAGTGGACAGAAATCATCATAATTCTCTGTTAATGAGGCAAAGGTCTATGGCTCTATCCTACAGCAGGAAAGTTGACACATTTTTAAACATTGTGTTTCACTGTCCTATGTCAGAGGCTAGCCACCATTCAAGGGGCTGGATGGAAAAGGGAAGATGAATCCACTCATCTCCACACCTGGGAAACCACCAATGAGTAAATCCCGCACTCAAGCATGTGATGATAATCGCTAAAACTGAGACAGCCAAATAAAGACAAATAAAGACAAAACAGAGTGCTAGGGCAGACGATGAGGTTGTCCTGTGCTCGCCACCCTGAGTTCTACCCTGGGGATCCCTCACAAATACCTGTCAAAGATCCTCTGCGGCTGCATCACACTGTTGACAACATGGGTCAGGTGATCTTGGGCTGCGACCACTTCTGGGGGAGGGTCGTATCTATTCACGGCAGCAACCTTTGCCAGAATTAGAAATGCAAGAGGAAAACACGTTTCATTTCTTAAAAGAAGACAAGTCTTAGATTTTCTTGAGTGAAACATTCTAGACAGGCAACCAGGTACAGAAAATAATTTAATGCATGCTCACGGACCTTTGTGCTCAGTCTTTGTGTCTACTCTCACTTTCCTAAAACCTAAATAAGGATGATTATCTTAAAATAATGGAGCTGGAGTCCCTGGGTCCCCCACTTCTTTATGCTCCTGGGTTTGGAAGAGAAGAAGCAAATACAAAACCTCTAAAGCCCAAGATTACTTTTAATATAGTAAACATTCCCACTCTGAGTATGAGAGGAAGGAATAAAATACATAGTTCTAGATTCCAGGTCGTTGATACCACGGGGATGTGTTCCTCATGCCGTCTCACCAGGAGCAATTCCAATGATCTCAAATTCTACCCAAACCTCCCCCTCTTTCAGCAGAGCTCTCTGTGTTCAAAGATAGGGATCTTTCCCTCGTGACGTAGCCTTCTCTATCCATGTGTCCTTGTCACCCCTCTATACACATGATCTTCGTGAACCCCACCTCTACTTAATGCAGGCTTTTGAATTGCATTCCCTTCACAAAACATTAAAGAGAAAAAGAAATCTAGCAAGTGCCTCTGAGTTTGAGGATAACAACGCACTAACATCTGTAACTATTTTTTAACAGCGATTTCCAAAACGCGTGTATGAAATGGAATATCTGCCCCTCTACGTACTTATACCTGCTTTCATGCTCATCTCAAATGGGCATTTAGCGTAAGAGATCCCTGGTTAGTGGAGATTTCCGCTGTCCCCAGTCACTAAAGCAAGACAAAGTAGCACCCCTGGCACGGTGGCCGGGAGGCACGTGTTAGTGTGTCAGGTCCGGTTACTCTGGAACCGTGTGTCCGGGGGGATCATGATTTTAAAGAGCAGAATTAAGGGTTTAAAATACCAGGAGAGTGATTTGAGTACCTTTGGATTGTAAATGTAGAGTGACATAATAATAAATTTCATTATTAAATGAATGGTTAGAGCAACACAGTGAGAATCACACACGCTCCCTTATGATAGTTATCCAAGTTAATAGACTGCCATCGCACTGCTGCCTGGACCCACGGAGCGCGGCTTCTGTCCCCACTGCCGGCCTGTTGACTGTGCGAGAGCAGCACCTTCGCCGCATTCGTGCTGATGCTCAGTTTTGCAGGGGGTTAAACCACAGAGCAAGGAAGCACTCCCTAAATAAGTAGTTAATTCCCATATTGTCACGTGTGCCATTTATTGATTACATCGGTCCTCCAGCAGACAGCAAAGCCCTTGAGCACATTAACTCACAAACACGTGGAATAATATGATTACATACCTTTTCTTCCACTTTGATTTTCTTCTGATCTAATTCTGTTAGTCGCAGGAGCATAAAAATCACGAAGAACCAATATTCAGATTTTTCCTATTTAAAATATCAAGAGGAATGAATATTCAGTTGCCTTCATGAGCAAGCACTAGCATGCTACTCTCACACGTAGGTGTTTCAGCTTCTACCCTATCCACACACACACACCCTCAAGGTGTCTGCAGTTTCATGCTTACCAGTCCCCTCGTATTAACTCACACGCAGACTGTGCCTTGTAGCTTTACAAAGCTCTTCAAACGTGTGATCTCGTTAATCTCCCTGTGACATAAGCAGGATGGGTATGATCATCTTCATTTCTAAAGAGAAACTAACTAAGCCTCTGAGTGGTGAAGCATTTCACCTAAGATTCCATGGCCAGTGATTCAAATCCTTTTTCTTCGAACTCCAAAGAGTTTCATTATTGCAAATAATGAACATTATTTATGACTAGTTTGTCATCTATTTTGTATTAGTTTGAATTAATTTGTACCATTTTGAATTTATTTTACAATAAATAATATTCATTTATAGAACAAATTCCTTATTACTCCCAACCATCTGCTATGTTAGGATTATCTGGCTTTTAGAAATATAATTAAAGTTTTGTATTAAGACGCGACATCTTTGAAGAAAAAGGTATTAGTGGGAGATGCATTTCATAGATAAGAGTGCACATGAAATGAATATATAAAGGTATCTTTCTTGTCCTTTGATGTGTGAGTTGGGGGGGGTTGTGTATATAAGTGAGTTAATGTGTGTGATAGGGTTTGTGGTATTTATTTATGGGCATGCACAAACACTCCCCGTGGCTCTAAAAGGGGGGGGCGGTGTTCATGGTTGCTTTGTAAGCCCTGCTCCTTTCTTACCAGAGATGCTTTTAAGTTGCCGGCCACTATTCCCATACCAAGGATTGGATTTATTTTTTAATCTTGTTTTTCATTTTTGCTTTTGTTTATTTTGCTTGTCCAGACATGTTCATCAAGTTACACACACACAAAAAGGTACTCAGAGATACACACACACAAAAGGTAAATTCAAGAGTCTCTGGAAAAGGAAGGGAAGGGTATAGGTAGCAAAGTGGAATGAAGGACAAATGGAAAAAGAGGGAGGGAGAGAAGCCAGGAGAGAGGATCTATCAATGGTAGGAAAGAGAGAGGCTTGAAAAACAGTGGATTTTTGAATATCAGAGGTGAAGAATCCATAGGAAATAGAGTATTTCTTTCTATAATCGTTTTTACACCACCACCAATTTCCCACCTATATCCAGACAAATTACTATAGGTATCTGATCTTAGACTTTCTTTCCCCTATAATACAACAGGAACCAGAGTCTGTCTACACCTCCAGCATGGCACCTTCTATAACGTAAAAGGACATTGCTCCAGTCTCAGTAGCTGTGTCAGGTGATCTTTATTACCAGCGGGGCTGAGTCACACTTGACCACCCGGAGCAGGAAACTCCGGGCTCCACCCTCACTGACAGCATGAATAGCTGCTCCTTGGCCTAAACCTCCTCAATGGCCAAACCTCCCTTAGAGATTGAGAATGAAGGTAAATACAGTGCATGCACATCCCTGATGCTCCTTATCAAAAGTATTCCTTGAAGAAGAATTCCAAGAAAGTCCTCACCCCCTCTCTGCACATAAATCTCTCTCACCTGAACTGGATTTCTTAGAAAATTGAGAACCCGGAGGAGAGGTAGATTTTCAATGTATTCTATTTCACCCAGCTCAGCAATCTGTTTAATAAAAGAAACAAAGTATTATCAATAGATTAACTGTACAACCAATAATATAAAGTACTGTAAGAGGAGCTGGTATGGATCCTCTAACTTCAACTTATTTTAGAAACTGCTCTGTTGCATATCTAGCCTTCTCAAGAGTATTCCGAATGCAGAACAAGGGAATTACTGCATGCTCCTTCACTAAATGTGAACACACATAGCCACATTTTATTTTTCTTCTTCTCTGGCTAAAAAATAGTTCTCTGAACTATTCCTCATCTCAGCCATATTTATTTTAATTAATTAATAAATATTTTATTTGTTATTAATTAATAAATATTTTATTTATTTTAAGGCAGAGATAACGTTGTATGCAGAATCAGAGAAATAGGACAAAAAATGCAGGTGGGGGCTCCTTGGTTCTCTCTCCTCAACCCTAATCCTTCCTAGCCCTCCTGTTCCCCAGTCTCCCTCCCCAACGCTACCTCTGCTAGCCTGGCTACTTGTGACCGATGAAGACTTCTTACTACATGTGCATGTGTAGCTCTATTGTTTTTTTAATAAGAGATAATTAGTTCAAGGAAAGATAAAAACAGAAATGATATGACACATTTCTTGACATGGGCATTCACCTTAAAATTTTTTGTTTAAACTGCACCCTTATGTGTTATACTCTTTTCTGTGTGGGTTATGTGTCACAACTTTAAAAAATGAGGGGAAAAAAGGCTGCTTGACAGTTTCTTAATTTGACCAAGGAGAGAGCTTAGGTTGCAGAATGCCTGGATTTTCCACTAAAGACAAACAGTTTTACTTAAATTTCCTGTAGTTAGCATAATTATAATTTTATTTCAGATGTGGATACTAAACTTCTGCAAAAAAAACTAATAATCGCTTCTTCATTTCTGTTTCTCCCCAAGTCATTTCTGTGTGCATTGTGAAAGCTCTCCAAAGGTAGTCACCGATAATTCCTGAGTTATCCAAACACAAAATGCAGCTAAAATTAAACTACTCCCAGAGCTAAATCAGGGGAAGAACATATGCACCATGTTCAAGGGATGCCATTTTCGAAGACATAATGTAAAAGGTAAATTCTGAGTCACCGCATAGAACCTGGCATTAGTTCTATATGCTTATTAATAAGCATTAATCTGCTTATAGCGATGCTATGCTATCAGACACAGCTCTTTCAACACAATGACTAGATCCATTAGAGTGGCATTTCGATCCTCTGCAAGATAAAAGGATCATTTTTTTAAATATTGTGTGATTCAGGAAGGTGGAAAAGTCAACTCGGTTCACACTGCTTGGTCAGAGCCGTGGACTGATCTTCCTCTAGGACACAGCTCCTGTGCTCGGACCCGACACAAATGCAAGCAGGGGATGTTTTCCTGCGGTGAACATGTCTCACCACCAAGTCCTGGCCACGTGCACTGGCACGCACTGCCGGTGAGGGTGGAAACTAGCACGTTTTTCCTCAGGGGCAAGCTGATGTGTTATGTGTGCATAAGCTATGAACCAGCTACCCACCCTCAAGAGGTTTACACTGAAGAGATCATCAGACTGGCAAACATTAGACAAAGAATGTCTGGGCTAACATTTTTATTAAAAGTTTAAAAATTCCTAAATTCTGAAAAAAACCCATCATTATGTGATGAGTTTAATGAGCACACAGTACAGTCCCATAATAGGAACACTATGCACTTACTTTAGAAGATGGGGACATCTCTGGTAACTGACATGGAAAGATCTTGAAATGTTACAAACACATGAATAGTAGCATGATCACAGACTACAAAAAATTATAACTAAAATGTCAGCTGGGATCACCTGGTCTTTTGAGAGTCACATGAGAGGGATCCAGCTCCCTCACCCCCCATAGTCCTTCCAAAGGTAGGAAGAGGCTGTTAAGGGCAGAGCCAAGCAAGTATGGGCTAGCCCGGATTCAAGATCCCACGCCTGCTGAATTGGCCACATTCCACAGATACTGACTGTCCTGCATTGGCCCTCCCCCCCTCTCCTGAAGACCTCAACCCACAGCAGACCCACCCGCATGTCTTCTTCTCAAATGCCGAACCCAAGGCTGTGTGCATCACAGATCATTCATTACAGTGGATGTAGGGGTACAGCGCCCCGAATGACTTAAGAGTAAAACACTGCCAGAAAGGTTCTATTCTTAAAGGAACATCAGCTAAGAATGTCACACCAGCACAGCTGATCCCCAGATTCCAGATGCCCCTCTTCGCAAACCTCCTCTGCCCCTGTGGGTTACTCCCAACCCCTAGCAGCCTGTCAACTTCGAATTCCCAGGGAGAGCAGTTTAGTTGACTCTCATTTTGCCATTTCCTCGTAGGCTATGCTCTCCAAGCCCCAGTATCCACACCTAAAGTGGCCTGTGAAGGCTTTTTCTTTGATTGATTGATTGATTGGCTGATTGATTTATGAAATAATGACACTAAAAGAAGGAAAAGCATTCTCTAAGTAACTCCCCAACCAATGTCTTGTTTCTAGAAGAAAGGACTGAGGTTATAACAGAGTTAACATTTGGGGGATAAGTTTTAAATGCTAGAAATGACATCCACTCTAACAAGGACTCTAGAGAGTGATAAGGGCCCCCAAATCACCAACTGATGGGAAACATTTGCAAAGGAACTTAAAAGAGATGTTGAAATGATCGTGTGAGGGTACAGCAACGTGTCAGCAGCTAAAACCAAGTAAATAATACTGATGAAAGTGCAAATGATAAAATATCAAATTAATCATATGAGGAGAAGCAGCTAAGTTATGTTTCTGTTAAATGACAAATTTTCCATCCCTGACATGGTATTCTCAGTAGTACTGGGGAAATCTCTGAGGAAATCTTTGGAAGGCACAAAGAACATTTCAAAGTACTGTTGGTTGCTCCCCAACCTGCCCAGTGGGGAGCCAGGGAATTATGTTACTGTTATGGACTCAATTGTTCCCGAAGGATTCCCTGCTTTGGGACACATGGCCACTTTTTCTTTAATGGAGTCTCTTGAACATGTGAAAATTATAAACTCCTTTACTCACTCAATGATACCCCTCTTTTTTTTTCTTAATCATTTTCAAATGTAACTTGAAATGTCTCTTGAAATGGAAGAGAACGATATATTTATTCATGAGGTCTTTCTAGAGCAGCACTATCCAGTATGGTAGTCACTAGCCACATGCAGCTACTTAACACCTGGAATAGGGCTAGGATGAACTGAAATGTGTGTAAGTATAAAATACACACCACATGTCCAAAACTTAGTATGGGCAAGAGGTTATAAAGTGCCTCATCAATGATTATTCTGTAGATTACATGTTGACATGATGATATTTTGGATATATTGGGCTAAATAAAATATATTATTACAATTACTTTTACTTGTTTTTACTTTTTTATTGTGGCTACTAGAAAACTTAAAATTGCATATATGGCTCACATTTATGGCTTGCATTATATTTCTAAAAGAAAGCACTCTTCTAGAGCATTACACTATATGGTCTTCTGAAGGATAATTACTGTATTATCCTTCAGTGTTGAGAACACGGAGTCTGGAGGCAAACCATTCTATATTTGCATCCTGACTCTGCTATTTGCTAGACGTAGAACTTTGGGCATGTTACACTTAACCTCTCTGTGCCCCAGTTTCTTCATCTATAAAATATGACAATAGTAGGGTTATAGTGAGGATCAAATGAGATGATAGATGTGAAGTGCTTAGAACAGTGCTTTGTGCACGGGTACTCAACAAATATCTCCAGATGATCTTATGACTGCAATTATTACTATTATTACCATTAACCATTATTCTTTTTCCTGAATTCTGAGATGCATTCAGTTGGGACTCAATGGATGCATTCCATACCTTTTCAACACTCCCTGGATATGTGTGAGAACCATTTTCACGGCAATTTCATGAAAAGACACTAAAACTGTATGAAACAGAGACTGTGCTGACATCATAAGATACGTGGCACAGGGAACAAAAGTTAAATGAACTTAGGAGCTGACAAAACAATTTAATATACAAATCAAGTAAAAATAAGGATGAAAAGTTTTGTCTGTGATTAAAAAATCTACTTTTCCCCAGACCTAAAGATGGCCTTTTCTTGATGTTTAGACGAACAGGTGATGCGAGTTCACTGGAGAAAGAGTCATCAGACATAACTGATAAGCACCATCACACCTGAACAGAGAAATGTCTCCACAGCATCACATCTCACCCCAGGTAAGACCAATGTCTCTTTCAGGGCCAGCCAAGTTTGCATTTTCAAGGAGAAATAAACAGTCAACTTCCTTATGAAGTCTTTCCAAAAACTATGATAAAGTACTCAGTAAGAATACAATTGTTTTATAGACGTTATTGCTTAAGTAGTCAGATATACCATGATTATGAGCACAAATGCTTCATTGAAAATAAAGTATAATTAAAAGTGGACACCAATTTATATAATTTATGAAACAAAGTGTGTATTAAACCAGATATAGAAAATTTGAGTCAGTCCAATCCCCAACTCCTACGGATTAGGAACATACACTATTGTTACCAGTAGAATATAGGAATTCACTCCCTGCGCCTCTTCTCCTTAAATGACAGGCACGGGCAGCACCAGCCTGAGGCTCTTCTCATGTCTCCCATTTCCCTGCTCTGACATTTCAGACACTCCCAAGGTCACCTTTCTACACAAAATTTTACACGAACACATCTACTTCAGAAATCATGTCCACTTGGTTGCAATTTAAACCCTTAAAACAATGTAATTAGGAATAATCAGATTTCCAAAAATTAAGAATCGTATTAATTACAAACAAACAAAACAGTCCTTCTGCAATGACTGCTCCTGGAGATTTTTTAGAATAATGTTTCTAAGCCGGCATTTCAAGTGACAGCCCTTGAAAAACCAATAATGGGACTTGGTATGTCCTCTTACGCAGACACTGAAACCAGGACAGGTGACGTGTGACGTTACCTTATTATCCTCCAGGTTGATCACTTCCAGGAAGTCATGGTTCTCTAAGCCCTGGAGGCTGCTGATCTGATTATGGGACAGATCCACACTCTGCAAGGCTTTTAGGTCCTCCAAACCCGTGATCTTCTCAATCTGGTTATTGCTCTACAATTGGTAAAATACAACCAATGTCTTAAAAGCTTCTAGTAGGAAAAAGTGTAAGGCCAAGTTTTCATTCTGGATTCTGCCCCAATCTCCTAAAATCAGCAAGCCATTCTTGTTGCCCTGCACCCTCCCATTTCCACCGATCACCTTGATAAACACATATACATACACCCCAGAAAGAATTCCCAGTTTTTCAGTTGGAAGATTCAGAATGTCATATTTTCACTAAAGTTCATGCAAGATGAATGTCTGAATCAGTAGGACAGACAGAAGCTAGGTAGTGTAAGCTTTTAACATTATTTACCTAAAGCTTAATAATAGCATACCTCCGTGTTTATCTTCAGAAACATTTAAAATTGCAATTCTTTCAGCGCCATCATGTTACACCACTAGAATAGTGTGAGTCCCCCATATGCTTGGTTTTCAGGAACATTCTAAATATAATCACTTCATATCACAAGGGCCATGGTAGTCTGATCCATGGCTTGAGTTATTCATGCTCTTGAGCAGGTCCCTCCTCTTGAATCTAGGCCGGACCTACGACTTGCCTTAAGAAAAGAATATGGCAGAAGTGTGCCAGTTCCAAGTCTAAGAATTAAGAAGGCCTGGCAGCTTCCCTTCATGTGTCCTGGAGCCCTGAGCCGCCATGTAAGGACTCTAGCTACTCTGTTGGGAGAGGATTTGTGGAGAGGTCGCATGGAGAAGAGGTCACACGGAGAGGGGTGCTGACACTAAAGAGAGAGAGGAAAAATACAGCCATTTCAGCATCCCCACTGAGCGCAGCCCCCAGCCAATCTGCCGGCTGAATGAGGCAAGAGCAGCAGCAGAACCACCCTGCTGAACCCAGCTCAGATTGCAGAGCTGCTAGCCAAAAAAATGGTTAGTGAGTAATACTTCTCCGTGCACCACACTTGGGGTGGCTTGTTATTCAACAATAGATAACTGAGTTCTTCAATAATTCACACATAAGCATCTTCTCAGACAATGAGCATAAAACAAAGATTCAGAGATCCTCTTTCCCAACCCCCATGGACCCATAACAACAAATTATAGTGGCAACAATAACCGGCATTTTCTCGTGCATTTTCCAACATACAATTCCTTGGGTTTCTTAGCCTTGAAGTGTAAGAACATGCCACAGTAAAATTACACTTTTAGTTTAAGCTGGGAATCATAAAGACAATTTTGAGGTTTCAATTAATGACATAAAATGCCCATCTTTAAGCTTTTAATACTTTTAATAAGCACTTAACTGAAAAATTAAATTATAGCATGCTCTTCCATCTGCAATATTTTTCCTGATATATGTTTCCTGGTACATTTTAATAGCAAGAGCTCATTTTCATCCTCTCTTTCATAAGATTTCACTTCAATAATGAGCAAGATTTGCAGTCATTAGTTTAATTCTGTGGCTCTTTAAAATACATTAATAGAATGTTGATAATCTACAAAGCTGGGTGATAATACATGGGGGCTCATTAAACTATTCCCTTTTTTAAAATACATGTTTGAACAATTCCATAATCAGAAGGGAAAAATACTCATAACCCCCATTTGCCTAAGTCAAATTTCCTACTATTCAGAGTTCAAAAAATTTCTAAAAAGTGTAATAGAAAAGTAAAAGAAAAAAACTGCACTAAAGTTAACATAATAGCCATACTAATTTAACTTATTGAAATAAGACCTCACTATCCTATTTAAAACATGCCCACATATAAAATTTATATACAATACATTTCTTCCCGAAGGACTTTGAAGTGCTAGAACTATGGAAGATAGACTGTAATAAATCTTTACAGCGTCTCTGATGGCTTTCAAAGTGGTAGATGCACAAGAGAAGAGTGAGACACAGAAACGTTTAATTAGCTAGCCTATGGTCATAAAGGAAAGCAGAGCGGCGAAACATTCAGAATCACAGAATTTCTGAGTTGAAAGTCATCTAGTCAAACCCTTTATCCGATGCTGAAAAATGGATACATTGCCCCTCAAAGTGGACATCCAGTTTCAGCAAGAATGGTTCTGCTTTTCTTTTTTGTAAAATCGTGATCAGCAGGGAAAAGGGGGCCTTTAGAGAGAAGCTATTTTCTTAAACAGATGAAGTGAGAAATGTTCTTCGTGTCCCCAATTTGGAAAGGCAGAAATAAATGGCTCTTACTAAGACAAAATGAATTTTAAAGTGTGGAATCATTGTCCTTACTTGCTCAAAGAAGTGGTTGACAGAATAGCCCATGAGTAAACCACATTACCCCCTTACATTTATTGTAAAAGCTGATGGTAGAGAATTAACTGGTTTGTATAGCGAATTATTCTCTTTTCTCTAAAAAAATGTAAAATGAATTATTTGCAGTAGTAAAGCAGTTGGTTTTCTAATTCCACAAACTAAAACATAAAAGCATTAATTATTGAAACAAATGTGTATCATTTTATCTTCTGTATTTCATTAACATTTGTGAAAGAAACCCTTACTATTCTCAAAAATTTTAAGGGGAAATGAATGATGGCATGGTCTGTATTTTCTGATTCATCTTGGGTGATGGGGGCAGGGACTGGGAATAATCCCCCTAATTTATTTGTAGAAAAAATAAGTCTTTTATGCTTTTTATAAAAGCTGCTTGAGATGGAACTGTCAACATGGATTACTTGTTTAGTTATTGAACCAAACTCTTGTTTAAAGCGTTATGTGTAGGGGCGCCTGGGTGGCTCAGTCGTTAAGCGTCTGCCTTCGGCTCAGGTCCTGATCCCAGGGTCCTGGGATCGAGCCCCGCGTCAGGCTCCCTGCTCGGCGGGAAGCCTGCTTCTCCCTCTCCCACTCCCCCTGCTTGTGTTTCCCTCTCACTATGTATCTCTCTGTCAAATAAATAAAAATCTTTAAAAAAATAAAGTGCTATGTGTTAATCTTCTTAATCATGAGTTCAGTTCTCCTCCCTCTAAGCACACCCCCCTATCTCTTTCCACATACCATGCTCCACTTAAAGTTACTGGGAGCACCAATACAAAGAGATGCAAAGAAAAGGATAAGGTTCTAACAAGGTACCAACGGAGTAGTGCATATTGCCAGTACTCCTTTAAATTATCATAATTTTTTGAATGTGACTTTCTTTTATAATTTTTAAGTTTGTCCACCAACTTAACAAATTCATTTTCTTTTATGCTTTGCTAACATGCCCCGGTGGGCAGAAAACATGAAATCTTAAGGACGTTATTAGACGTCTCCTCGCCTACGGTCTGTCCTTGGTCCTGGAACCAGTACTTTGCCCTCACCTAACTTGCCGTAAGGAGGGGAGTCTCTTGAAAAACCACTTCAAGCTCTAAGCTCAGGGAGAGAAAAATTAACACTAGCCAACCTTCCACTATCCATAGTTAAGACAGGAATAGTATATTATAAATGTCATAAATCTGCAGATAACCCCAAGATGTCATTTCAAATAGCAGTTCAACAGTATCCTGTGGGATAGTTCACATAAGAAATTAATAAGCTACCAGCCTTATGGCTTAAAATCCTCCCTGCCCGCCTTGTGACAGACATAATAAAAAATAGCAAAGCCATCCAAGAGTAAGACATAGGAGAGAGGAGGAAAGGAAGAAGAATCCTGAATAATCCACAAACTATATAAGCAACTTTTAAATTAGTGAGCTATACAGTTATTTCAAAAACACAGTATATATCTTTGGAACTCTTATAATTCTGCTGACTTTTTAATAAATTATCTGCATGTTTATTCATAGTCACAGCACACATCATAGAGCTTAAGAAAAGTTCTCTCTATGGGAAAAAATTTAAAAACTTCGTTTCTGATTGGAATTGTTCCTTTATTCTCAGCATCAATTCTGGTTTTCTAGAATGGGAAACTAGCATATATTAATATAAAAGGGCTGCCAAAGTTCAGGCCCAGAGAACATCTCATGGTTCATTTGAGAACAAAAAAGGGTAAACAGCAGTAAATATTATGCTTAAATGTTATTTCATCAGTGAGACATTATGAAATGTATTTTTAATAGTTGTTAAAAGTATTCCTTTCCTTCTCAGGGTTGCCTTCCTCTGTCCCTTTACAGCAGAGGCACACTTCGGGGCAGCAGGATAAATTAGACAGAGACTCTGGAAGAATCGGAGGAAGAGGGGCACCTGGGTGGCTCAGTTGTTAAGCGTCTGCCTTCGGCTCGGGCCATGATCCCAGGGTCCTGGGATCGAGCCCCGCGTCGGGCTCCCTGCTCCGCGGGGAGCCTGCTTCTCCCTCTCCCTCTGCCTGCCGCTCCCCCTGCTTGTGCTTTTGTTCTCTCTCTTTCTGTCAAATCAACAAATAAAATCTTAAAAAAAGAAAAAAAAAAAAAGAGTAACTTTTGGTTAGACTCACCAGACAAAGGATTTTGATTGGCAGCATGCCTAGGCCGTTAATTGACGTGATTTTGTTCTTGGCCAGACTCAGGTACGTTAAGCCACTACACAGCTCTAGCCCATGGATCTCCTCTATCTCGTTGCCTATGCACCATGACTAAGTTTAAGGAAAATGTTATGAGAAACATTTTGAAGAGGGGTGCCCAGGTGGCTCCGCGGGTTAAGCGTCTGACTCTTGATTTCCGCTCAGATCACGATCTCAGAATTACGATACTGAGCCCCACTTCAGGCTCCACACTCAGCACCGAGTCTGCTTATCCCTCTCCCTCTACCCCCTGCTTATGCACACACACACTCTCTCTAATAAATAAAATCTTTAAAAAAAAAATTTTTTTTTGAAGGAAAAAATAGTGTCAGATCATCATTAGAAAAATCAGACGCCATTAATAAAGCACTAATACATGCCCAATACAGGATGAACACTAAATCTTGAAATATATTTTTTTCATTATAGAACTTAATACTGGCACTGCTTCAATTTTTTTTAAAGACATAGCGCTTGAGTATGCTCAGTTGCACTTTGCATTCGTATGTGACTCATTTAATCAGTGAGGAAAAACATTTCGGTGTGCTTTGGAAGCTGCCTCCTTGGCAGTGTTTTTCCTTGGTCCCTTAAGGGTCTCCACAAGAAACTCACGTGCTTTCCCACAGGCAGGACTTCCCAATACAGGGTCACCTAAGCAGGCAACGTGCACCAAGCTTCATCACCCTCAGAACCAGGGGAACAGCCGGGGAGATGTCACCTGCGCAGATCGGTGGTAAAGAACCAATACCTGATACAGAGAGGAACGGCCTTTTCTGCCTATATTGGTTTCTCTTCTCCCTTTAAAATAAATGAGGCCTAAACTCCATCTTCATTTCCTCATGTTGAGTTTCTAGTCATTTTAAAATTTAAATTTCTTCTGTGCTCCATCCTTACAGTCACCTAAAATTGCAGTCCCAACATCACCAATTCTATTCTCCTCTCTCTGGTCTCGATTTCTTTGGCAAATTTTTGGGATTTAATATCATTTGCCCACCACAGCTCAGTTTTCCCTCCCAAGTATTGTGGAAGACATCACGGTTCTCTCAGCCACTTGTAATCTTCAGGGCATCCAATCAATCAGCAAGAGTTGGCATTTTTTGCTTTAAAACATCTCTTTAATTATTCCCTTCCTTCCCGTTCGCTCCACTGCCAACTTAATTCAGCTTAATTCAGCACTGATGGGTACCTCTAACATCCATTTCTTCCTGCCTCAAATCACCTGACACACTGTAGTCAGGTTAATTTTTTTCAAAATATTGATTGGATATCATGTTTCAATCAAAAAATTCTCACAGGACAAATTCCAAATTCCTCACTCTGGCATCTAAAGCCCCTGACTTTAAGCAAAGCCTATTTATCCTGTTTCATCTCCATTATAACCCAGTGAGAATTCCCTAATTCTGCCAGGTCAGTCTTCTTGGCAGTTCTGGAACGTACCAAGAACTTTCTTACTTAGCAGTGTGTCTTTTTTTCATGTTGCTTTCCTACCCTTCCTAAACCCTGCCTATTCCTCAGGACTCAATTTCAAATTCCATTTCTTTTCTTTCTTTAACATTTACATTAAATCAACTTAATTATTTCTTTTTGAAAAATAGCCTATTATTTCTGTTGCTCTTAATTACTTAAGTACGTACAAACGACAGGCTTGCAACAAACAGTAGATGAAGGATTACTATCTAGAATACATAAACAATGACAATAACTTAATAAAGACCGAACCACCCAATAGAAAATGAGAAAGAATATAGGGAGAAAATTCCCAAAAGAGCAAATCCAAGTAGCTAATAAACATATTTAGAGACTCTACTTCACCCTTAATCAGGAGAATGCAAATCAAGATGCCATTCTTCACCTATCAGTTTAGCAAGCATTTTAAAGGTTCTGCAGAACAGGTTGTTTCCTATGACTAGGGCTTCATTATGTTGGAGCCAATTTGGAAGCAACGTGGCAGGGTCTGCTGTAATTGTAAATTTGTCACAGCAACCTAAATTCTTGATATTTACTCTGGACAAACCATTTCTTCCCTGGAGCCTTTTCTGGTCAACTTCCAACCCCCCGCCTATCTCCTTCCATTAATCATAGAATCAAAGAATTTTTAAAAGGGGATGGAAGGGATCATTAAGGATCACAAAAACAGGTATTTTGCCTCATAATTCTTTGTAGTTCTCCTAACTCCACTAGTTACTCATTATGTGACTTAACTTCTCTCTGTTCAGATTTTTCACTGGTGAAGTGGGAATAACAAACAACAGTTTCTCATGAAAACTGAAAGTCTGATCATGGAAAAAATCTTCGGAATGAGGTTCACAAACCATAAAGTTCCTCACAATTATAAGGCAGTTATCATTACCACATTACAAGCATGTGAGGTCAAGGAATCACAACCTCTACCCGTTGGCCAACAGCACAAAATGGAAGATTGAAGGCCAGCAACTATTCCAAAAAGATGTAGGCCAGAGAAAGAGGTAAATTAGGAAACTAGAAGGAATGAGGAGAAAACATTGCCAAATGAACCAGACATTCCTCATTTTTCTTCATTGGTTCCAGACGTGATCCTTGGGCTGAAAGTTTCACTGGTCATCAAATATGCATTTTCAAATGTACTTTCATAAAGCTTCCTGCCAGAAGAGCTCTACAAAGAAACATTTAGGCTCACAAACGCCACACTCTTTCTGCTTCCATTTCCTCTGGGCTGTTTAAATAATCATTCTCGAATGAGAACGAAGACCAGATCTTTGTAGATACGGATTGTAACAAGGGATGTGAAATGTGGGAAACAGAGATTAAATTCTCACACAGCTATAGATGAAATGAAATGTCCTTGGAGTGGCAATCTTAGGCAAGGAAAACTTCAAATGGCCGTCTGTCTCAAGTTAGCAGAGGATGCAATAATCTTTAAGTCCTATGTTGGGGCATTAGTGTCCTGATAAGTCTGCTCCAACCAAAATGAAGATACTCTACAGGGAAGAGTAAAACAAATGCTTGTGGGCCCTGAGTCAGGAAGCCTTCCCATGGGAAGGGGGCAAGGATCAGAAAATGAGGAAATAGGAATCCTGAAACTATCAAGAGCTAGTGGGAAGTGAAAAGGCAAGCTTGTTTATTGTGTATGCAGTAATTTTCCAAGACATCCAAGGCTAACCCCAGTTCTCTCAGTACATCTGGCTCACTCTCCTGCTTTGACTAATATGGCAAGTCAGGTTTCATGAAATCAGCCTCGCAAGAGGCCAAAGGAAGAGGAATACAGATGGCTCACTGCAATGGTAATCCTGGCTTCTGCAGCTACCTCTGCAGTCACTCACAGCACTGGGGGCAAAGGCTTGAGGAACTGACTGCACATCTCTGCTGAGATATAAGTTCATTTCAGAAAAATTGTCTATTTCCCAGCTCTTCACTACCCCTTAAATTTTGAGGGATCTCAATCATTATAAATTAATCAGGTTCTTGAGTGAAGAGTACTTTTTACAGTGGCCCAACACCTCCCTCCCACGCCCCCTGCCACAGCTTGCCTCCATACTCCCAAGGTCACATCATCTGTGACCATGAGTAGAGATAATGGTCAATATGCAGGACTGGTCCATACAGAGCTCTGAGTTCACAGCTCGCTTTCGGGAATACCTTTATCTCCCTCATCTCTCATTTTCTTATTTTAACAACCTGCATGAAATGTTACTTGTCCTTCCTCTGAACGTTATCCTTTTGCATTCTTTCATATAGGTCGTGGGACTTTCCAATAAGAAGAAATATAATCTGATAAGTCACTAATTGAATAGCTTACTGGGTTAACCCTCTTAGGTATGTTTTAATTTTCAAAAGGCTGCCATCAGAGGAGGAGACTCAAAGAACTCAAAATCATCATACTGCATTCCAGCTTTAAAGTTTTACATTTCTGTGAATAAATCTTTTACGGTGGAATTTTAGATCCTCAGAAACTGAATGAAGGAACCCAAAGGCACATAAACCTAACTTTACAGTGAGGGAAAAGCCCCACAACGTATTTTTACATTTTGGTGATGCTGTCAGCAGTTTGCAGACCTTGACATGAATTATTCACTAGTTCGGTATTTGCTCTTATTCATTTGTCTACAATCATAAAATATGGTTCAGGTGTATAGAAAACAGTACTGAGAAATAAGTAGGAAATCCATCACAATTCTCTTAGTAGAGAGAACCGCAATGATAGCTTTAATCAAAACCAATCCTGAAAGATCTTTATCACCTTACCAGTGAAAAATGTTCTTCACTATGGGAGTGAATCTCTAAGAAATGAAACACACATACACTTTAAATGGCTAGGTGATAAAAGTAGTAATTACTCAATGAATTGCAGCATGGGGAAAACAATGGAACTTAGAGGACTAATCTCAGTTCAACCACTGACCAAATGATCCTGGACAAGTTACGGAGCCTCCCTGGGTCCTAAGCTCCTCTTCCATAAAAGAACAGTTAGTAGTAGATAATCTCTAAAGTCCAGTCTGGATTTTAAAATTCTGTGAATCACTTTTTAAAAACTCCATGATTCTATAATCATAAAACAAATTCCAGTGAACAATCAATCTGTCAATATTTACAGGTAAAGAATACACAGAATTCCTTCTTAAGAAATACATTGACTTATCCTTGACAAAGTTTATCAGCTTGTGATTTAGGATGATTATCAATTAATCAGTTATCCACAAATGGAACGACAAAATAGCCTAAGATAAACCAAAAACTTGATTTCTTATAGTTAGCCAGTCCATTTTGAGGCACTAATCTACAATCACAATGTCAGCATCACCAGGTTGATTAACTGATTTGTGTTTATTTTAAAGGAGTGCTTTTTAGTGTTGATAATTACAATTTTATTTAATTATATTTTAAACAAAAGTGCACTTGTTTCCCTCAAATAGAAAAGACATATACGTCCACTAAGGAAAACTTGAACAAATATAAAAAGCACAAAAAAGATAACCACCAAACCCCTAAAAAGGACACACGGAATGGCATCAGATTAGGAAAGCATCCCCAGCAAGGTACAACAGAGAAGACTGACTAGCTTGAAGCTGGGGATCTTCAAGTGCACTCCTCAGACCAGCAATATCGGCATCACCCGGGAGCTTGTTTAAAATGCAAATTCTCAGGTACCACCCCAGACCTACTCCACCAGAAGTTCTGAGGGTGGAGATCAGCAAGAGCTGTTTTAACCAACCCTCCAGGGGATTCTGATACAAGCTCAAGTTTGAAGCTTGGTAAATAACTATTTTCCAAGAAATCAGTAATTTTCAGATTTAAAACCTTTTTAATGGACAGATACACCATTTGCCCATACACGGCCTACGTATATTTATTTAAAAAAAAAAAAATCTAATGAACGCTCTTGAAATGGCCCCTGCCTCCAGCCCAAGAACGTGAGCAGTAACCAACATCTACCTCTGCACGCCCCTCCAGGTGCATCCAACGCCCCCCTCTCGGAGATGACCAGTATGCTGAATTGTCCACTTCCTCTTCCCTTTCCCCTTTGGTTTGATACTAAAATTATATTTAGTTTTATTAAGATGCATCCCTACTGCTGCATGGAGATATATTTCATTCATTTTCACTACTGTATGATATGCTATTATAACGTAGTTTATGCTTTCTCTTATCAATGAGCATATGGGCTATTTCAATTTTTTGCTATGACAAGCAGTGTTGCTATGAGCATTCTTTTTTTTTTTTTTTTTAAAGATTTTATTTATTTATTTGAGAGAGAGAGAATGAGAGACAGAGAGCACGAGAGGGAAGAGGGCAGAGGGAGAAGCAGACCCCCTGCTGAGCAGGAAGCCCGATGCGGGACTCGATCCCGGGACTCCAGGATCATGACCTGAGCCGAAGGCAGTCGCTTAACCAACTGAGCCACCCAGGCGCCCGCTATGAGCATTCTTATACAAGCCTCCAGATACACGTATGCTAAGCTTCCCATATGTAGGAATGAAGTGCTAGGCCACAGGAAATTTGGATGTTCAACTTTATAAAAGAACATAAAATGGCTCTCCAAAGTGGTTGAACTAATTTGACACCCAAAGGAAGAAAAAAAGACATCCTCTTGACCTACATGTTCTCCAACACTTGATATTTTTAGATTTCTTAAATTTTGTCAATTGAATGGATGTAATATAGATCTTGTGTGGTCTAGGGTTGCATTTCTCCGAACACAAATGAGGTTGACATCTAGTCTTATGTTCATTAGCCTTATCTGACTCATTTTCTGTAAAACTCTTTTTATACATCTTCTCCCATTTTCCTGTCTGGGAACATGGAATATATTTCTCTTTAGTTAGGTCTTTAATGCTCTTCGATAAAGTTATACATAATGGGAGGAATATATATGGGAGGAATATAATGATATTCCTCCCACAGGCCTTATTCATTGTTACTAAGATTCGTTTTTATTGCTCTTGTAAATGGGGTCTCTGTTTTAGTTGTGTTTTCTAATTGCTTGTTTGTGATGTAGAAAAATGCAATGGATTTCTGTTTATAGAAGTCATATCCAACTACTTTGTTGAACTCTCAAAACTATCATTTCTAGTAGTTTATTGCGAGTTATTTTTGATATTCTCTATAGACAATCATATCATTTGCAAAAAAAATGACTTTTATCTTCTCCCTTCAATCTTTACAGTTTCAATTTTTTTTCTCTTGTTTTATAGTACTAAAACCTCCAAAACAATGAGGAATACAAGGGGCAATGGTAGAGATCTTTGTCTTGTTCCCAATTTTAAAGAACGCTTAGAACATGTCCCCAATTAGGATAAAGTCTGCTTCAAATATTTTTATAGATCTTAGCAAGTTGAGAAAATCCCTTATTACTAGCTTACTAATAGTTTTTATTGTAAATTAGATTTTATTAAATTCTATCTATTGCATTTCTAAACCTACTGATTATATGGTTTATTCCTCTTAATCTGTTAACATAATGACATGTATTGACTTTCTAATATTAAACTATCCTTACGTTCATGAGATAAACCAAACTTGGTCATGGTCTATTATCTTTTTTCAAACACTATTAGATTCAGTCTGCCAATACTGGTTTAGGATTTTACATCTAGATCAAGAGTGAAATGAGTCTGTCATTTTCCTTTCTCTTACTGTTCCTTATATGCTTTTGGATATCAAAGTAATCTCATTAGAATGGATTGTGAATATGCCTTCTATTCTTAATCTTTGAAAGAATTTGTTCATTATTGGAAGATCTGTTCTTAAAAGTTTGGATCTGGTGGTTTTTTTTTTTTATATGAGTATGTTAATTTAATTAACTTTACTTTAAAAGAACTGCATTTATAATTACAGGACTACTCAGGGTTTCTATTTCCAAAGCAGCATTTTGGTGCATATTTTTCTAGGAATTTATTCATTTCATCTAAGTTTTCAAATGTACTGGCATAAAAATTTTGTTTAAAAATTCTTTTTTATTGCAAAGCTTTTCAGTCTTTTCAAAAATCTAATCTAATAACATAATTATACACAGTATATGTGACACTCTTGAATAGAGCAAGAGGCATATTCAGTACTGTTTAAACCAGCCCACTATCTTTTCAAAATGGTAAGCTAAGAAGTTTACTTCATTAAGAGTTTATGAGGCGGAGGGGTGCCTGGGTGGCTGTCAGTTAAGCGTCTGCCTTTGGCTCAGGACATGATCCCAGGGTCCTGGGATAGAGCCCCGCATCAGGCTCCCTGCTCGGTGGGGCATCTGCTTCTCCCTCTCCCTCTGCCCCTCCCCTGGCTTGTGCTCTGTCAAATAAATAAATAAATAAATAAAATCTTTAAAAAAAGAGAGAGTTTATGAACTCTTTACAAAACAATGACTTGTTTTGGCTACTGTGTTTGCATTTTAAAAAACACAGGTGAGGAATGCTGCCATGTTACTTTTTAATTATGTGTCCATGTTCTGAATTTCAGTTGGTTCTGATGTAATGATGACAGCTTTTTATACTTTGGAGAGAAGATAGAATTGCTACCTCTAAAGTCAGGTTAAAAAAAAAAAGTAAAACCCTAATTCCTTTCTTCATGATATTTGACATTTACAGAGTCATAACAGTTTCTTACATGGAAAAAAATAAATTTATATAGAACTTAAGTCTTCCACAACAGAAATGTTTTAAACTGCACCCTCTGTCCTGAGTCCAAAATCCTGTGGAGTTGTTTTCACTGGTGGTCCCATGCTACACACAGAAGAGTATTTTTCTGGGAGACAGAGCCCAGATTGCCACATGACCACCCTCATTCAGGGTACCCTGAAGATTAGATGGAGCTCTGGATGCTCATTCCTCCCTTCTGGCTGGTAGGAGTCTTGGGCGCAGCTGACTTCTAGACCAGCGCTTCTTGAGCTTTACCATGTACTCCCATCACCTGGGGGTCTTGTTAAAAATGCAGGTTCTCATTTCAGGGGTCTGGGGTAGAGTCCCAGAGCCTGCATTTCTAAGAAGTTCCAGGCAATGCTGATGCTGATGCCATTAATCTTCCCTGAGCAGTGTTCTTCTAGGTGGTCTGAGTGGATTTTTGAGTCAGGTGGTTTCTGGGCAGTCAGCCTCTCTCTACCTCCTTGCAAATTCAGTATGTATGACTATCAAGCATGAAGTGAAAAGTTCTATGGACAGATGCTGGGCTAACGTGTACTACTTTAGTTTGCCATCAGAGCATTTCATTTTGATCATTTTCTCATTAGGCTACATTTAGGAGAACTTGCTCACTTCAAGAGCACCAGCTAAATGTCCACTAATGGTGCATTTTCACACACCAGTTCTAAAGAGTGTGGCGCTATGTTCTAAGTTTCTCATCATATATGAAAAAGGTTTTTTCCCAACAAAATACGTCTTCAAGACAATATACCTTCTGTTCTCCCCACATCCGTCTCATTGCAAGTGTAGTGTTCTAACTGCTGCCCTGTCCCTGGAATGAGGCACCCAAGGGCAATCAATTCATTCCCCACTCTGCCTCGAAAAATCCTCAGGTGGGCAGAGAGATACTGAGAAAGAGAAGATGCTGCTCCCTTATCACCCAGCAAACATCAGTCTCTGGTGTAAAGAGATTCAAGCTCATTAAACTCACAGATCCCCAATTAACCCTTTAGGCTTTCGAAGTTGGAGTGTGTGTACTTCAAGGTAGATGCTCTGCATGGGAGCCTGACTCATGCAGTAGATAGGTTCCTGAAGTTGGTTGCTCATCAAAAGGGGCTGGTTTTGCTTTTTTAAAAAAATGAAAGTACATTTTAAATACGCCAGAGAAGCCTGCTATTTAAAGGGAGATCACTATAAATTCTTTTGTAAAATAAAAAAAAAATCACTTATTTTCCTTTTGGTCATATCTGGATTTCCAGAGACTGACTTTATATAAAATAGGGCACAAGTTTAAGTAAATTTGAAGAAGAGAGTCAATTAAAACAGAACTTATCTGGTTCTAGAATTAAAAATAAGCCTATGTTTATCAGAAGAATGACTGTCTTATGTTGCTTTTTCAGGTGTAAGATGCTCTTGGCAAGCTCTGACTTACAATCTTACTCCTTGGTAAATAAAATATCTTTCTTCATTTTGTGAATATCAATTCTTAGTCATTCAAATGAGTCACACATCTTCAGCAAATTGCTGATCTGGTACCACTCCAAGTCATCCAAGTACACAGTTATTAACAGGCCTATTACCCAAATTTCCCCTTTATTCATTCAAAGGATACTGTCCAAAATTAGTTTAGTGAGAGCGTGGTATGCTGACAAATCACGCATTTCAGAAATTTGATTGTAGGAAAAATCCACCTTCTGATGAGAAAAAGAGAACAATATGTCAAAGTTTATTTTTCGTCCGCTTAACCACCATAATTCCTCACATAAGGTCTTTCTGGCTGTGGGGTTAGAAGTCATTACTGAAAATACGCCAAGGCTAACATAGCCACCCATATCTAATCCTGTTCTGCCTGGACCCTTGTCTGTTCAGTCTGAGGGAGACGGGGGAGGAGGCTCCTGCCCTGCACCTAGCGTGGACACCCCCACCCCCTAAATTCTTTCAATTCCTGCTCTTCCTCTCTCTCCATTTCCAGCAATCACTTCAGACTTTCTTCATCTTCCCGCAGAATTCACCTCAATTCCACTTTTACCACCATTTCTTTCATTTTCTCTACTGTCCCATAAGCGGCATTCACTTAGTTCCCGTGCTCATCTTTTCTCTGCCTTTTCTCCTCTCTCTCAATATATTCTCCCGTGTCACCTCCCAAGTGCCAGAAAAATCTTTTTTATTCATCCTTCAGGCTACATCTCATCCACTTAACACCCTTTCTCAAAACAGACTATTTTAGGAAAGCCTTTCCAGCAACATCAGTTGTTCTTACTCAAAAATAGGAGACTAAAGAAAAACATTAAATAACTAAATATTCACCCACAAGCAAAAGATGAACAGTAAGGATTTAAAAAAAAAACTTTTTAAAATGCTGCATTGATAACTTGCTGGGCACATGTAATAATTTTCTGGAAAACTATCAAACAATGATCTAATGAGCACAATTCTTATCTTCTTGTGCCCTTTAAAACAGTGATTCCACCCCCAAAAATGTACTAAGAATATTTTATCAATGTATTAAATACTAAAAACTTTAAATACTGAAGAGAAGAAAACTGATTAAGTCGATTACAAGATAGCAACAGGACCACAATGTCAGTAAAACACAAGTGTGTGAACCATGTGAAGAAACAGTAATGTGCAAACAAAATACTGTTAGTCAAAAAAAAACCAAACAGAACACAAAACTTGATGCCTATATAAACTCCAACTATGTCAATCGCAGACCATGGCTGACCTAAGAAGTCAGTCTGGCTTGATGGAATGAAGTTTCATATTCACTTTTGCCTTCTAGGTAATAATGATGGACTGGAAGTCAACATAGTGATCTAGGCTTACCTACAATTGACAGTTTTTCATCAACACCTTCCGTTCCTGTGCCATGGCTGGGTCTGCTCCTCTCTAACTCTACCCTTCTCTGGGCCACACGCCCATGCTGTGCCCTCTGGCAGCTGTGATACCAGGTGTGTTGAGAGGCCTGAAAGGGTTCTGATGGTGCTCTGACTCCCCCTGGGAGTTCCACTGGACCTGAAGCCTTGCAGGGAGTCCCATCCATCAAATGAACCTGCTGGACCTACTAAGAGCAAAGCATTCTGGGAAATACAAAGCGTGTATAAGAACAAGCCCCTGTGCTTTAGGAAACATATGTCTTCTCTGGCTGGTAGCACAAAGCTCACAAATAATAAGTGAACAGGATGCAGAGCTTTCCGAGATGGTGGGACGGTGTACACAAGCCTGGTTTCCTGGGAAGACATAGGCTTGGGTGGCAGACATTGGGCTCCATCCCAGCCCTGCTACCTCCCAACAGAGATGACATATGTGATTTTCCCTTTCTATACTCTGGAGTCCTCATCTGTGAAATGGGACCATCGTAGCTGCCTCACAGCTTTCTGGGGAGGATTGCCTAAGATAATGCCCTGAAAACACCAGCAGGCCTGGGTCACTGCCTCAGGCTGATACAGGGTTCACAAGGGCTTGGAGCACGTCATCAGAGGCGGTCTGGCTCTTTCTAGGCACTTATCTACAGTGACCGATAGATTTGCTCTTAAGTCTCTGGGAGCTCGGAACCTTAAAGATGAGGCATCTGCATTGTTTTTGTTCATTGGTGAAGCCTTCTTGGCGGGGGGAGAGGGGGAATGGAAGAAATTCCAAGGAAGTTTTTCCCAGGGAAGGGGTTACAAATAAAATTCCTGATCACCTGGAGACCACGTGGCCCCACACCGAGTACAAATAGGCATCTTGCATGGCTTATTTGGACAAAGGAACGTCACCCTGGCAATAAGCATAATTTCAAAGGGGAAAATTTTTACCCCACTATTGAGAAAAAAAGCGGTGAACAGAAGAAAAATTAAGAAGAGCATCTCACTAGCAGTATGATGTCAGATTCTTGATTTCAAACAAACTTTCATATTTGTGCGAGCCCCAGTAGAATGCTTGGGCTCTAAGTTCATTTCGTTTGTTAATAAAACAAAATAGATAATAAAAGCAATAACTGAGGTCCAATTCTAAAAATATTTAATGAAATCTATTAGTCTACTAGAACACTAATCCCAAGCTCATAGCAACGGTTCCCAAATTTGTCAGCACATTAGAGCTACCTGGGGGTCTTTTAAAAATTCCACATCTAGGCCTTACCTGGGGCCACTTGAATCAGACTCTCTGGCAGTGAGAGCCAGGCGTGAGTAGGTTTTGAAAGTCCCCAGGTGATTGCAATGTGCAGAACAGTCTGGGAACCACGAATCTATAATGTCTCTGCTTCGGTGTGGCCCATGGACCACCAGCAGCAGCATCACCTGGGAGGCTGTTAGAAACCACAGTCTCAGGCCTGACTTCAGACCTCCTGGGTCAGAATCCCTAGTTTCACAAGAACCCCAGGTGATCTATACAACATTAAAGCACGAGACAGAGCCCAGAGCCCGCTGTTCCATCAACTACCGTTCACAGAGTTTGGCTGTGTGTCAGATGCAAAAGGAACTTCAGAGAAGCAAGATCGGAAATCATTGTGGAAAAAAAAGAAAGTAAAGGTTGGATAAATAAGGAGGGCAAAATTTGAGCCCCCAAAGAAATTTTTACAGGTTTTCCAGGTATAAAATTGTTGTACTATACTAAAAATATACAAATAATAACTAGTATTTAGCTGCGGGAGAGAGAAGGAAGTTAGTTTCTCAGCCTGAACACTATTAGCAAAGCTTCCTAAAAAGATTATCTGCAGACAGACCATCTTCCTTTTTCATCAGTGATACCCAAATCCCCTTTTATTTCATTTCAGACATTTATACTATTTACTCCCATATCTTAGGGTGTCTGAATTATGTTTAAGCTCTGTTTTGCGTGTTAATGTACTTCGCAAGCCGGTTAATGAATGAATGTATTGATCAAGCCTACCTTGAGATTTTTGGGTGGCTTGAAATTGAAGAATGTCGTCAGTTTATTGTGAGAAGCATTAAGTTCTAGAAGGTAAGGCATACAACTCACACAAGACAGATCTGGGGGGAGAAACAAATACAGAATAAGGTAAGCCAATAAAATCAAAATTAGACTAAGTCATTAAAAGCAGCTTATGTCACATCAGAGCATGTTCTCATTATGCCAGTTGCATGCACTTCTTAATTAGTGCAAGCAAATGAAATGAATAAAAATAGGAATCCGTGAAACACACAGTGTGGAGAACTCTCCATGAGCTCCTAACTTCACCTTCTTCCCCAGGGCCTTCCCTCCTCTTCCATCCCTTTTCAAGTGACAGGTGCACCCTCCAGGTCCCAGCTCACTCTCCCAGGAGCTACTAACAGCCAAATGCTTCAAAAAATACCAGCCTTGGAGGAAAGGACGAGAAACTAAAGCCATAAATAATCCCCTTGATAATTAGCCCCTAGGTGACTGAATTCTTTTCAGAAAGACTGAAAATGCCACAATTAGAAAAGTTTATTCGTTATAAATTTTGTTTTAGTTGGACTTAGTCCTAAATCTCATTAATTCTTTGAAGTGATTTAAATTATTGCTATTATTTTACGTTGGCTCTGGATTGGTTCAGAAGTATGTCTGAGTTTTGCACTTTGTCCCAAGCAAATATTCTAAACCTCGAACACTAAGGACAGCCGTGCTCTAATGACAGTAACGTATAAAACGTAAAAATGGTGAAGTACTGGGTTGCCTTCCTCTGCCCCTTTACAGCAGAGGCACACTTCGGGGCAGCAGGATAAATTAGACAAAGACTCTGGAAGAATCGTAGGAAGAGGGGTGCCTGGGTGGCTCAGTTGTTAAGCGCCTGCCTTCGGCTCGGGTCATGATCCTGGGGTCCTGGGATCGAGCCCCACATCGGGCTCCCTGCTCTGGGGGAAGCCTGCTTCTCCCTCTCCCACTCCCCCTGCTTGTGTTCCCTCTCTTGCTGTGTCTCTCTGTCAAATAAATAAATAAAATCTTTAAAAAATAAAATCATAGGAGGAGGATTTACAGCCCTGACTCCAGCAGGAACTTAAGTCTCCACCTGAAAACAGTAATCATAATAGCTTCTCCCTCTCTTTTCATTCTAGGTCACAGAACCAGCTATTACGCCTCCCGCCCCCCCCACCCCAGGAAGGCCCCTAGTGGCAGAATGGAGCCTCCACACCCGAAGCCAAGAGGACCACTCTGACCTGTCACCAGGTGACAGATGCACCCAGCCTAGGAGAAGGGAGCAAGGCCAGCAGCTGGGGTCTTCCCTGGAGTAGGCACCATGAGCAACCCCCTCAGCCCACCTCCCCCCAGCATCTTTCCTTCTCGAGATCCCACCAAATTCTATGTCATTTCTCTGGTCTAAATCACACCCTTCTTAAACCTGTCTTTATGGAATTGTTCTAGGGCAGACAATACACTGAGACTTTAATACTTTTGTGGGACTTAATGAGTGAATCAAGGAAGGCTGCCTGGAAACGGAAACCTAAGGTGAAACTGTCATGACTTTACAAGTCTTGCCTATTTGTCCTTTCTGAGCTCAGCTCCACATCTATCAGTCTGTCAACTCTATTAATGTCCACCAGCCCCCATGTGTCCTTAGAGCTGATCTTTCTGTGGGCAGGTAAGTGCTGTACCATGGAGCTGTCCTGAAGCAGAAGCAGCTGCTACCACTGAAATGGAGCTACATCCCAACTTTGTAGATGACTGATCCTTTCAAATCACTTGGACAGAAAAAAAAAAAAAAAAGCACGATCTTGGTTGCTGGGTTTCTAACCCTGGCTGGCCCATTAATCCCTACTTGGTGCAGTGACCTCCACGTCCACCAGATGGCAGGAGCTCCTTGCGTCTACAAGGGTGGTTCTCAAAGTGTGGTCCTGGATCTGGCACGTCGGCGTCCCTGGGGAACTAATTAGAAATGCACATTCTCAAGTCCCACCCCAGAGCTACAGAATCAGAAACTCTGAGGGTGGGCACAGCCGGCTGTGTTTTAACAGGCCCCCCAAGTGATGCTGATGCAAGTTGAAATCTGGTCTATATCAGAACAGAAGCTGTTCTCACAAAAAAGAAAAATATACTGTGCCTTACACATAGTAGGTTCTCAAACACTGGATGAGCTAAGAAAATGGGCCCTAAAAGATTAAAGGAGACTGATCTGAGGAAAGCTCCATTAGCAACTGTGGGGTCCCGGCTCAAGCTGCCAGGGTGGGAGGCCACCACTGAGCATTGCTGCAGCCTCCCATCACGCTGCAATTCCTTATCCAGGGAAGGAAACCAACCTGGGAGTGGTGGGGTGCGGGGCAGCTCCTGCCAGTGACACTGAAAAACCCTTTCCGATGATAGGTATATCTGGGATTTGCTTTAAAATACTGGGTGGGGCGCCTGGGTGGCTCAGATGGTTAAGCGTCTGCCTTCGGCTCGGGTCATGATCTCAGGGTCCTGGGATCGAGTCCCGCATC